CAGAACCGCTCTCCCGCTTCCACGCTCCAGCGCCTGACCCTCGCCGCGCGTTGGCGGAGGCGGAGCGATGCCTGGTCGCGGCGCAGCCCGGAGGAGGAGGAGGAGGAGGAGGAGGAGGAGGAGGAGGAGGAGGAAGGAGGAGCAGGTGCTTTTCGTCGAGCCGCTTGGGGTGTGGCTCCGGGAGGTCCCCGGAGGCGCCCCTGGCAGGCCTCCCGAGGCTCAGGGGCCGGGACGTGCTGTAGAGACCTTGGGGAAGCATCAGCCCCCGCAGGTCGGACTGGACGCGTTCTGCAGGCGTTGGGAGAGGGCGGCGTTGGGAGTGGCCACAGTGGGCCCGGCCCCTCCCCCCTCGAGATGCGAGGGCCTCCGTCCCCCCTGAGATGCAGGGGGGGGGCGAGCTTGAGAGAGGACCCCCTCCCCACTCTAGGCGGCGGGGGGGGGGGGGGAGTGTCGGGGGGGGGGCCCTCCTCTCCCCGGGGATGCAGGGAGGAGAGAGAGGTTCGAATTTGACAGGGCCCCCACAGCCCCTTCAAGGGGAAAGGGGGAATGTCGAGCGTCGGGCGGCCCCCCCCCCCCAGTTCTCCAGGAGCTCTCCATGTTTTTCTTTTGTCAGGAGGAAAAGAAACACACAGACACAATGAATCCTCGATTCCACAGAAAATATGGGAAAATATGGGAAGTGGGGGGGAAGACAAAAACCCAGAAAATATAGGAACAGATGGGGAATCCTTTTATTTGTGTGTATTTATTTGTGTGTCCCAGGGCCCCTTTATTTTGGGGGGGTCCATGGTCTAATCGTGCCAAGGTGTTCTTTTCAGAGCAACTCTCTACGAAACGCCTTCTCTCGAAGATCGAGCGAGTACCGGGGCCTCTTCCTCCCCGGACCTCCGGCATCATGCTTTTCGCACCGCGGGCCCATAGAGGTCTCGACCAGCATCGCTCGGGCCGATGTCTGACGTCGCGCCAGGCCAGGAAAAAAAGGCGTCCACAGGCCAAGAACGGCCAGAGACCTCCCGCCTTCTTTTGTTGTCCCTCGACGCGAGCACCAGGATGTATCTCCTTGGACGTTACATTCAGCATCGGTGCTGGTAGATCCGCGGCCGCAAACTTGCCTAATCCCGTTTGGCCCCATTTGCTCTGGAGCCCTTGTCCATTGTTCCCCAGGTCCAGCTTCGACGGTGCTTTTGGGGGAGGCAGGGGGGTCAGGTCTATGGAGACGTTTCTTTTAAACCAACGTTCAGGGAGGGTCGGTCTCCAGGGGCGCCTTTTGCGCACGAAATGTTTCCGCAGCTTTTGCGCAGGCGGGATGCTCGAAAACCGTGTTCGTGACCACCAGCTCGAGGAGCATGATAGTCGTCATCGTCATCATCATCATCATCATCATCATCATCATCAGCATCATCATCATCACCATCCGTTGCCATTTTGGCTCAAGGTTGGGGACAGGCCCCAGGTTGAGTGCGGCAGCCCTCCGCGAGGAGGCGTTCCTGAGGTCAGACTCAGGCGGTCACCCTTGTTCTCTGCTCTCCTCCTGTGTCGTTGCAGCCATGGCGACGGAGCTGAGCGCTGTCCTTGAGGAGATGAGGAAAATGAGATAGGCTTTTCAGATCCACACTGCGCAGGTGTCTGAGATGAAAGAAAGCCTTTCCAAGTTCAAGGATGACATCACGAAGGAGGTAAAAGAAACCATCGATACTCCAGATTTCGTAATAAAAGGGAGGGGGTCTGGACCCTCCAAGACAAGCCATTTCAGACCTCCCCCGTGGGAGAACCCTCCAAAACTTCCCCGGGCCCTCCAAGATAGCCTGGAAGAGACCCCCCCCCGAAATGAGACCCCCCTCCCTTTATTACGAAATCTGGAGTTAGCGTAGTGCGACTCCAGAGGAGCGGATGACGACGCTGGAGAATAAGCAGACCAGTGCTGGCTCCCCTGCTGGTGCCCCCTCGACGTTGTCCCAAGGTGGTCACAAGCGGCGTCTTATCTCAACTGGTCTGAGCTCTGCTGTGGGCACTACCGCGGCGGATTCTGATGATTCCAAGGTATGGATAAATGGATGGCCTCGCCCTGTGCTTCGTGCTCAGCGAGAGAAATGGCAGGCTGCTAAAGAGTTTCGAACCCTGTTCAATCACAGCAAAGTCACGTGGTCTGATCCGCGTTCGCAGGTGAAGTTCCATATCAAAGCTCGCCAAGAGCTGCCTGAAGATGTTCGTGTTCGTCAGCGGGCACTTGCCAAGCACTACGACCCGATCAAACAGCACCTGATCGCCAAGAATCTGTGGACCCAGGATATGCGCATGTCTGGTAACGGCTTCAGGATTGGGTTCTGTGTCATCAAGCAAGAGGAGGTATACTCCGTGTTAATGGCTGAGGTTGGCTCCCTCGGCCGCTACAATGTCGCGCCCAACCCGTCCGAGATTCAGGCTCTCGGCGTGGACCTGAATGCCATCATCGCCATCGTTGCTAGCCTCGCTTCCTCGCAATAGGAGGTGAGCTCGTCACATGGACGAGACAATCCCGATTTTGCCGTTCCGTCGGTAAGGGGTGCTGGCGTTGAGCAATCCCATGCTGCAGTGAACGTCTCTTCTTCTTCCTCGTCTTCCTCTTCTTCCTCTGGGTCTTCTGCTGACGATAGTACGATTGACTTCGATTGCTAAGTCCAACATCCTCGGTCCCATCCACATGAAGCCAAGCAACGTTTCAAACTCCACACCTGGAACGTCCAGACTCTCTTCGTCGCCGTTGGTGGTGAGTCCTCGCGGCAGGACCTCAAGTGGCAACGATTACATACTATCGCTCGCGGTGCTACATGTATTCTTCTCCAAGAGACGCATGGACACGAGGGTGATCTTCATTCCCTGCGTTCTGTTTTCCCTGCGTTCGAGTGCTACGGGAGCTTCTTACCCGCGCATAGTGGTGGTATCATTACGACGATTCGCAGATCGTTTCTGGCTGATTTTTATGATTTCAAGTGTCGTGCTATTTCGACTGGACGTCAATATGGTTTGATGTTGCGCGATGACAAAGGCGCCATGCTAATTTACAATGTTCATGTTCCTCCACAGTATTCGATGAAAATAAAGAAGCTGGCGCTCTCGAGGCTGGCTCGCCATATCCCAAAGTTCGAGTGTGGACTCGCTCTTGTGGCTGGAGGCTGCAACTGCCAGTCGCCTGGGGGCACTTGCTTTTACGCGCCCGACACCGATCGCATTCGCAAATCTGATTCACTCGGCATGTTCTTCGATGAGCTTCTCGGTCGAATGTTAGAGTTCAAGCGTGACTACCCGACACGTCGTACAATGCAGCAGGGGCGCTTGGTTTCTGCCGCTCGTATTGGCAACAAATATGTGGATGCTCCGACGGTTATTATATGTGACTGGCATCCATATGTATGTATTCAGTGGAAAGCTACTGCTTTGCACGAGCCCAGTGATCATGTTCCACTCTATCTCCAGCTTCGGTTAGGCCGGCCCTCAGGAGATAAAGTAGCTCGTCGAATTCCATCATGGCTTGTGCGCAAGCCTACTTTTGCTGAGACTTTGGCTGCGACTATGATGGATATTCCGCCATCCTGGCATCCTTTTGACAAGTTGAGGTTTTTGAAAGATGCCATGCATTACGCCGCCGACCTCACACAGGAGCAGTTGTCCTTTCATGGTCCTGAGAGCCCAGGGGAGAAAGTCAGCTGGTGCTTCGCGGTTATGCGTGCTATGGAATTTTCCCAATTTCGTTTTATTCGACAATTTCGTCATGCTGTTCCTGGGTTTAGACAGTGCATATCAGGAGATCTGAATTGGAAGGATCTCGCTGGTTTTCATTCTCTTATGCGATCGGCCACTCTCGCCCACCTTCGCGCGCAGGAGAGCGGGCTCGATAACAGCGAGACGCTCAATACTACCTTCAAAATTCAGCAGAAGGATAAGCTTCAACGTTTGCACGCTTCTTGGACCGACCGCAATCGTCGGCTATCGCTGCGCGCTGTCATTTTCCCCGACGGTCAGGAAGCACCTGATGAAGCTTCGGGCGCAGCTATGCTTGCTTCATGCTGGGGGAAGGTACATGAGGCCAAAGAGGTAAGGGAGGTGGAGTTTTGAACACTATCGCCCTTTCGTGCAAGCTGCCTCTGGCGACGTTCGCTGGCAGATCTCCCACGGCACGCTCCGAGAAATGCTTCGAACAATGATCGGCGCCGCCCCTGGCCCTGATGGCATCCCATTCTCCTGCTATCACTACGGGGGAGATGGAGCTAGTCAAATCCTTTAGGAGGTTTATCAGTGTGTTTTGGGAGGGGAAGAGCTGCCTGCTGATTTCAATTACTGCTACATGGTTTTCTTACCTAGAGGGTATTCTCCCAAGTGAAGCCATGGATATTGCACGCACGCCCGCTACCACTCGTCCTGTTTCGCAATCTGATACCTCGAACAAAATGATCTCGCACGCGATCAACTCGGGCCTTGCACTCCAAGCACAATATGCAGTAGATTGGGATCAGACGGGGTCTGTCAAAGGTAGGCAGGTGGCCGATAATATTTTGGACGTCTCGTCGACGATGTCGATATGGGGAGATGTAGAGGGCAATCGCGATTGCGGGGCTACATAGGTGGATTTCAAAACGGCTTTTCCTAGTCTCGCTCACGCATGGATCTTTTGGGCGCTTAAGGTCATGGGATTGCCTGCGCGCGTTGTGCGCAGTACCCGCGCGCTCTACAAGAATATTCGTGCATCGATAGTATATTCTGGGGGTGTCTGCATGGGCTTCGCCGTCCTCTCGGGGATTAAACAGGGCTGCCCAATGTCTGGCTCGATATTCGCTCTGGCTCTTGATCCAGTGGTCCGTCGTATGTGTGCTAGTCTTCCTCGGCCGTTATCGTTCATCAAGTGTTTCGCAGACGATCTGGCTCGTGTATCGAGGGATCTCTATCGCACTCTTCCAACGCTCTTCCGATCACTAATTTCATGTGGATACGCTGCTGGTCTGGTGATCAACACCTCGAAGACATTTATGATCTTTCACTTCCCTCGGGAACGCAACCCGGCCATCGAGAGCTTGAAGTCCGCTGGCCTGATCGCCACCAATTTGCAGTTCGTGGACATGGGCGCTTACCTTGGCATACGCATAGGGCTGAATGATTTTGCTGACTCCTGGAGGCTGCCGGTAGAGAAATACCGATTGCGGTTATCTTTTTGCAAAAACTTAAACGCTGGACTCACACAGGCAATGATAAGCTATAATGTGTTGGCTATGAGCGTCCTCGCGCACGTCGCGCAAGTCTCCTCGCCGACTGAACTGGTTCGGCGGTGTCAGCGCGAAGGGCTTCAAGCGGTCATTGGCTGACCTCGTCACTCTCTGCGCCCTGACCTTGTGTATCAGTTAAAGGAGATTGGTTTCCCTGTGCAAGCGGTGGACATCGTCCGATATGCTGCTGCAGCACAATATCGTTTGGCTCGGCGCTTTGGTGTTTTCCGAAGGCTCATCGATGAATGTCATGATATTCTTGATGGCAGTAACTGGTTGGTTGCTCATGAATCCAGTCCGAGACTCATCAACAGTATGTTCTACCAATCACATGGTAATTGGAGACGGCTCAACTGTATATCACGCGCCCTCGACGACCCGTGGAGGAAGGAATTTCAGAAATGTGTGCTTGCTCAATTGAATATGCACGAGGCTCCCGTGACATCGTATCTGCAAGCTCGAACGAATTATTGGATGAAGGATTGCCGCATTGGTCGTAATGATGATACTCTGATGCTTATCCGCATGTCAATGATCTCTGCGCAGTTGCCCTGCTTCGTCCTCGCCAGTGTTCTCAAGACCGCGTGTAATGGATGGGCTACATCCGCTCGATATTGTCAGCCACTTGATGATTGTCGGTTCGGATGTAAGGCCAGCTCTTGCGACGCCATCCCTCGCGATTTCTCTGGCCCGCACTTCGTACATGCTGTTTCACATCTTCTGCGATGTATGCCTGTCTCATACTTCGTCGGTGATCCCAGGAAACGTTTCCTGCCGCATCTCTTTGAATGGGGAACCTCAGAGGAGCTCAGTAGTATCGCTGTTGGTATTGAGCTCGCACACTCTGTGTATCATAGAATGCGCGCACGTGATTCATACTGTCCTGTTCTCTTCCTTCGTCTTTTGCATGCCCGTGCACGTCAGCTCCTGCGCCGCCGCAGGTGCCTCGTGTCTCTGTTTTCGCATTCCACGCCTGCACTTGTTCACTGTCGCTGTCCAGCCGATCGCCTCTTGACATAGCTCGTCGCCATTGGACGGACGTTCTGCCCTCGTTTCGCTTCTTGTCCGCTGGCCATCTTCGCGTCTTGCCCTCTTCTCGCCTCTTGTCCGCCTGCCTTCGTCTCGTCCCTTGCCTTCAACGCGAGCCCTGATCATCGTCACCATCAGCAGCAGCATCAGCATCAGCATCTGCATCAGCATACTCGCTGGCAGCATCACAATCCTCATCGTCCGCACCGGCAGCAGCATCTTCATCGCCGCAGGCATCATCGTCTTCGTCATTTTCAGGACCTTCTCTCCGCCATCATCATCATCAGATTCATCATCATCACCAGCATCAGCATCAACATCACCGACATCACCGTCACCATGATTTGTTCTGTCATATTACCATCGCAGGTATCTCCATTACCATCAGCATCCTCAACACCATCCCCGCAATTATCGCCCACATGACCGTGATCGTGAACGGCATGCGTTTCCAATACCCACTCAAACATTTGTTTGCTCCATCACCGTCAGCGGGCCCAGCGCGATAGAGTAGAGCCGTCGTCTTCTAATGCGGTTCCACGCGCCATGGCCTTTCAAACCCCACAGGTGCTCGACTCACGTGGGGCTAATTGCACTTTCTTGCCTGCTGTGTTGGAGTCGGGCCGTCAGCGCCCCCTGAGTTCCTTACGCCGCGCACATACCGCGGGGAGGGGGGTAATCGATAGCCCTTGCGCCCATCATGTTGTTCAACAGTGGGGTCCAACCTTCTTACGTTCGCCGTCTATCTCTTGCCACCGTTATCACCAACGTGACCACCGTTATGAAACATCACGGTCGCAATGCTGTTGGATGGGTCCGGGATATCATGGCGCCTCCTCCGGTTAGAATGTCCTGAAAGTCGGTTCGCGAAAGAGGGGGGGTCAATTTTTGTTGTTAGTGTGTGGGGCGCCGATTACGAAGGGACCCAGACTGCACCCGATTAGTCTCGCTGAATGCGTTGAATTCAGCTTCGCGCTGGGCTTAATCAGGCCTGATCCGACTGTGTGGCTCCCTAATCGGGCATCGTCGCCCTTGATTGATCTCACCGAGACCTTCTAGGAGTTGCCTCCTAACGCGAGAAGCTCTGAGGATCGAGGTTCCTCCCCTTCCCCTCGCTGACGCGCCTGCGGCACGGCCGCCCTGACACCGCGCGCCCTCCGCCTTTACAGAAGCGCCAAGAGTCCATGTATTTGGTATGAGCTTCACAGTTATGTTCTGGAGCTCGGAGCCCTTCATGTTCGTACTTGTCGTCGTGCGTCCCCCTTCTCCTGGCCCACCCATGGCCCTCGCCCCAGCCCTCCCCCGCTACCTGATCGAGCAAATGCCAGGGCGCGCGCCACTCGTCCCAGCCACTCCCCTCCTATTTATCCTGTGTTTTCCCACCTCGCGAGGACCCAGGCCTCCAGCGATACGATTGTTCAATGCGCGGTCCCAGAGGTCCAGCCCTGTTTCTTTGGGGGTAGTTTTCTGTGTCCAGGATCCGTTTTTGGCTGCCTGGGGTGCAGTAGCGGCCCCCGAGGCCCGAATTCGAGTAAACAGCGCCAGGAGTCGCAAAATCAGATTGTCGGAGATGCGGGTCTGAGGGTGGATGAAGATGTGGGTCTGTGGGTTCACGATGACGATGGTCATGAGATGACGACGATGGTGATGATGCTGATGGTGGTGGTGATGGTGATGGTGATTATGATGATGATGGTGGTGGTGGTGGTGATGGTGATGGTGATGGTGGTGGTAATGTTGATGATGATAATGATAATGATAATGATGAGCAAGAGGAGGATGTGATGATGATGGTGATGATGATGGTGATGATGCTGATGCTGATTAGGAGGATGATGAGGAACAGGAGGAGGAGGAGGAGGAGGGTGAGGGTGAGGATGAGGATCACGATGACGATGGTGGTGATGGTGGTGGTGAAGGTGATGGTGATGGCGGTGGTGATGCTCATGACGATGGTTGTCGGAGACCTGGGTCTGAGGTTCGTCGTCCCCTCCTCCTCGCCCCGTCTTCGTCGACGCGCCCCCAGCGCGGCCGCCCCTGAAACAGCGGGCCCTCCGAGCGCGGAGGGCCGCCGGAAGACCGCCGAAGAGGACCGCCGACGACGACCGCGGGAAGACTGCCCAGAAGACGGCCGAAGGCCACCGGGAGACCGCCGGGAGACCGCGAGGAGACCGCGAGGAGACCGCGAGGAGACCGCCGAGTGCTTGGCGTCCCGAGGCTCTCGAGCCGTGCGTTTTCGCGCCCGGCTTCGGGCCCCGGGAGCTTCGCGTACCGGTGCAGAAGACCGCCGGAGGCCGTCGGGTCGCAGAGCACCGCCAGCAGAGACCGCCGAAGGCCGCGGCCGAAGCAGCGGTGAGCCTCGGAGTGCGAGCCTCGAGGCTCGAGGCTCCCCTCGAGGCCCCTCCTCGTCGAGGAGGGGCCTCGAAGTTGGAGCCCTGAGCCTCGAGGCCCCTCCCCCTCCTCGAGGCCCCTCCTCGTCGAGGAGGGGCCTCGAAGTTCGAGCCTTGAGCCTCGAGGCCCCTCCCCCCTCCTCGAGGCCTCGCCTCCTCGTCGACGAGCCCCCGGCGCGGCCGCCCCTGCCACCGCGGGCCCGCTTGTCGGGGGTGGGCAGGACCCCCGCCCTGACACGTCGATTAGTGTTAATCGGGGGTGGACAGAACCCCCAATAGTGACACGTCGATTAGTGAATTGTCCGTTTTCGGTTCTCGAGATGGCGCCGTGGCCGTTATTTTCCAGGCTTGCGCCTGCCAGGTTTGGGCCTCAGGTCGTTTTTACTAAACCACGTTTTACTAAAGGGGGGTCTGTCCATCCCCGAGTTAAGTCGGGCATGTCCCTCTACAGGAGGAATGTTCAAAAACAGGCAAAAACAATATTATGGGGACGATGTTTTAGTTTTTGGGGCTCTTGGGAGTATTGTTGGATTTTTTACCTCACAGCGAAGACTGATAGGTTTCTAGTGGTGTCAAAAGAGAGCAGCAGATGACTCCACAGGGGGGTCGGGGCGGGACCCGGGGCGGCTGCCGCCGAAGCCCAAATCGCCTGGGACGTCCTCGCAAAATCGCTCTTGGCGCTGCTAGAACTCCATTCCCGGCGTACCCGGAGCCAACTGTAGGCCACTTCGTGGTCTTCGAGTTCCCAGAACTCCATTCCCGGCGTACATTTTGGATGCCCGCAGCCAACCGTAGGCCACTTCGCGGTCTTTGAGTTCCCAGAACTCCATTCCCGGGCCACATTTTGAATGCCCGGAGCCAACTGTAGGCCACTTCGTGCTCTTCGACTTCCCAGAACTCCATTCCCGGGCCACATTTTGAATGCCCGGAGCCAACTGTAGGCCACTTCGTGCTCTTCGACTTCCCAGAACTCCATTCCCGGGCCACATTTTGAATGCCCGGAGGCTGAGGCACTGAGGCTGAGGCTGACGCGCAGGCTGAGGCAGGCTGAGGCTGAGGCTGAGGCAGGCTGAGGCTGAGGCAGAGGCTGAGGCTGAGGCAGGCTATGGCTGAGGCAGGCTGAGGCCGAGGCCGAGGCTGAAGGCAGACTGAGGCTGAGGCAGACGCTGAGGCAGGCTGAGGCTGAGGCTGAGGCTGAGGCTGATGCAGGCTGAGGCTGAGGCAGGCTGAGGCTGAGGCTGAGGCTGAGGCTGAAGGCAGGCTGAGGCTGAGGCTGAGGCTGAGGCTGAGGCTGAGGCAGGCTGATGCTGAGGCAGCCTGAGGCTGAGGCTGAGGCTGAGGCTGAGGCTGAGGCTGAGGCTGAGGCTGAGGCAGGCTGAGGCAGACGCTGAGGCAGGCTGAGGCAGAGGCAGAGGCTGATGCAGGCTGAGGCTGAGGCAGGCTGAGGCTGAGGCTGAGGTTGAGGCTGAAGGCAGACTGAGGCTGAGGCTGAAGCAGGCTGAGGTTGAGGCTGAGGCAGGCTGAGGCAGGCTGAGGCTGAGAGTGAGGCAGGCTGATACTCAGGCAGGCTGAGGCTGAGGCTGTGATTGCGAATGCCGTTGCCACTGCGACTGTCATCGCGAATGCGACTGCGACTGTGAGAACAGCAGAATTCTACAACTGGATTCTGATATGAATCTTAAGGAGAATGCTTCCAGATATGCTTCTACACATCGCGGTTAGGTTGCTTTGCCGGGATAATTTTGCATTTTTCGTCCAAAGTCCCCTTGTAGGGGGACAGGCCCGACTTAAGATTAGTGAATTGTCAGTTTTCGGCTCTCGAGAGGGCGCCGCGGCCGTCGTGTTCCAGGCTTGCGCCCGCCAGGTTTGGGCCCCAGGTCGTTTTCATGAAACCGAGCCAAGCGACGCGAGGCGGAGGAGGAGTAGGAGGAGAAGGAGGAGGGGGAGGAGGAAGAGGAGGAGGAGGAGGAGGAGGAGGAGGAGGAGGAGGAGGAGGAGCTGGAGGAGGAGGAGAAGAGGAGGAGGAGGAGGAGGAGGAGAAGACGGAGGAGAAGGCGGAGGAGCAGGATGAGGAGGAGGAGGAGGAGGAGGAGGAGGAGGAGGAGGAGAAGCTGGAGGAGGAGGAGAAGCTGGAGGAGGAGGAGGAGGAGGAGGAGGAGGAGCATAAGGCGGAGGAGCAGGAGGGGGAGAAGGAGGAGGAGGAGGAGCAGGAGGGGGAGGAGGAGGAGGAGGAGGAGGAGGAGGAGGAGGAGGAGGGAGGAGGATCAGGAGGAGGAGGAGGAGGAGGAGGAGGAGGAGGAGGAGGAGGACGAGGAGGAGGAGGAGAGGGAGAGAGGAGAAGGGGGAGGGGGAGGAGAGCGAGACGAAGAGGAGGAGGAGGAGAGGAGGAGGAGGAGGAGGAGGAGGAGGAGGAGGAGTAGGAGGAGGAGGAGGAGGAGGAGGATCAGGACGAGGAGGAGGAGGAGGAGGACGAGGAGGAGGAGGACGAGGAGGAGGAGGAGGAGGAGGAGGAGGAGAAGGGGGAGGGGGAGGAGAGCGAGGACGAATAGGAAGAGGAGGAGCAGGAGGAGGAGGAGGAGGAGGAGGAGGAGGAGGCCATCCCCTGGGCGTGGCAGAGGCGCCCGGCGACCCCGCTGCAGCGGGCACCAGCCGCCTCGACCTGGTCATCCACGTCACCGCCGAGGCCCGGGCCGCCGGCCGAGCGCGGAGCCGCCGGGGGGTCAGGAGCTGCCCAGCACGAAGTCGAGGGTCGAGGGTCGAGGGTCGAGGGTCGAGGTTCGAGGTTCGAGGTTCGAGGGTCGAGGATCGAGGGTCGAGGTTCGAGGGTCGAGGATCGAGGGTCGAGGGTCGAGGGTCGAGGGTCGAATATCGGCCTGGCCCCCTCGGGGCTCGGCCCCTGGCCCCCGAGGGCGGCCCACCGCGGCGGCGGGCCTCTCGCTGCCCGCCTGGGGCGTCGTGGAGCGTCTGGCTGTCGCGGCCTCGCTGCCCCAGAGGCGCCCAGCGCTTGCGCACCTGCCGGGGTCGGAGGGCGGGCATGCCCCTCGAGGGACATGCCCGACGTGGTGCCTCAAGAACCAAGCCATGTTCGAAAAATGCCCAAACATATGCAATAACTGATGAATCAAATCGTCCCAAGACTATGTTTGACTATTTTTGAATACTCCTCCTGTAGATCTACAGCAGTAGCATTCAAGCATCGTAGCACAAAAAACTAGTCTGGGGACGATTTGTCTACTATGTTTGATTATGTTTGAGCGTGTCTTGCCTAGTATGTCTTGTTCCTTGCAACATCCGCCTGTAGGAGGACATCATGCCCGACCAGCGGCCCAGCACTGGTCCCGGCGAGCAGGAGGGGGGGGCGAGGTTCAGGCTCTGGGTTCGAGCTGCCGTCTTGGCATCCAGGGGCCGTGGTTTCGGGCCCCGGTACCGTCCACCTGTCCGCCCGCCAATTGCATGCACCACCCTTGCAGCGTACGGCCACGAAGGCACGAGGCAGCCATCCCACCGCGCTGCAGTGACGAGCTCAGACTGTATACTTGTTGGGGACTTCGACGGTGCTGCCTCATGCCTTCGGAGCATTTGGTAGTATGGCCGACTCTCATGCTCGTGGCAGCGTCCACCAGTACAATCAGACACCGCGTGAACACATTGGCTCCCGTGTCGTCGTAAAAAGGCTGCCCCAGACGAGCCCCTGTGGAGGGGTCTGGGGACCTATATTTGACGGAGTTGGCTTCACCCCCCCCCTCTTCATTGATTTTCTCGGGGCCCGGCCAGCTCAGGCTCCGCAGCCGCCTCCAAGGCAGAGACATCCCTTGAGATCCAGGCGTTGCAGACGAAAGTCGCGACAAGTGGTCGAGATCCCCGAGGGCCCACGCCACGAAACCGTTGCAGCGTCGGAGGCGAGGCTGTGTCGGAGGGTGGGCGGCATCGAAATCCGCCGCCCACCACGCGCCCTCAAGAAGTCATGACGGGAGGCTGTCTTGTCCTTGTCCGAGGAGGTGGCCTCGAAGTTCGAGCCTCGAGGCCCCTCGTCGAGGAGGGGGCCTCGAAGCTCGGGCCTCGAGCCTCGAGGCCCCCTCCTCGAGACCTCGGGGGGTCCACGCTGCGAAAGCATCGCGGCGTCGGGGGCCCGTGGCGGGCGGGAGGCGCCCCCCCCCCATCGACCCACCCGCGGGCGCTGGGCCGCCCCCCGCGAGGAACTCTCCACGCTGCCCCCTCGGCTTCGGGCGAGGACGGGCTCGGGGAGGGGGGCGCCTCGACCCCGCATCTCGCACGCGGATCTCGGCGGCATATAGGGGGCCGGGCGCCCACCCCCCGCCCAGGAGCGTGCGGAGTCGCTCTCGGCATCGCATCGCCGATGTACCGCCGATCCCTGACCGCGCAAGAAACCACCGCAACCGGAAGTTATGGATTTTTCTTTAAAATGATTTTTTGTTGGTTGTTCTGTTGTCGCGGTTACTGTTGGCACGTGCTTCGATTTCACATGTATCGCGTTCTCGTGGGGTTGCTTCATTGCCACTTGCAGAGCGTCTCCCGCATACCTTCCCTTCGACGTGCTGGCGCGAGACCGAGTGGCGTGCCTGCGCGGCGCGGCCTGTTTAAGACGACGCGCGTGCGCGCAGTTCAGAGGAGTTTACATTCGTAGCCGCCTGATTGTTGCGGCACCGCGCCATATTTGTTTGCGCGGCGCGTAACGCTCTTTTCGGATGCCATTTGCGTTTTTTTTGCATGGGCGGATCGCCTTGGCGCAGCGATGCTTCGCGCGGCGTGGTTCGGCCGCTTTTGCGCGATGATGCGCCCGTGTGCGTGTGTGTTGTCAGAGCGGCTCTGCGTGACGGCGTGTCCAGTAGCGATTACCATGCCATTAAGTTTGCTCCTCGTGGGCACGCGGGCCCCCCGCCCTTTTTTCCCTTCTTCGCGGCACGCCAAATTGTTGGAGTGTCTATAAGTTTGTTTCGTTGGGCGCTTGCGCATGTGATTTTTTTTATGAGCATTGTTCGTTTGTTGTCCACCTTTCGCGCGACCTCTTCTGGTTGCTTTCCCCCTCGTCCACTCGCATTATGTTTTGATGGTGTTCTATTGCGCACGTCTCAAGGTGGAGGGCCGGGTCCGCTCGTGGAGGGCGCGACATGGTTGACAAATCATACGCGTCGCGCGGTTGTGGTAGAAACCACGGCGCGTGCGTCATGCCGATCTGTTCGCGGCAAGTCCCGCGCACCGCGACCGCGCAGCACTCGGCGTGGCGAGTCTTCGAGCACCGCCACGAAAACCATAACGCGCGACATGTCGTCGCCCATAGCCTTGCAAGGGCCGCAACATGTGACGCGCTCTTCCGCGCCGCTTCGGGGCGCACTCCTTCGTCTACGTCGTCGCCCTCCCCCTTCCCACGTCCCCCATGTTGTCACCTCCCTTCTTCCATTTCGTTCTCCTTGTCTCATTATTGCGTCTCCTGGGGTTCTCACGTGGCACACATGGACAACACGTGGTATGTCATGGGTTACTGTCGGGTTGTCATGGGGGCCTCCTGGGACACTCTTGAGTCGTATATGGGGCTACCTGGGACATTAGGGGCCCTCTTGGGCCGTCGTGAGTTGCCTGGGGGGTATCTTGGTGCCGTCTTGCGCCGCGTTCGCCTCCATGCTGGTTTTCTTGCTTTGCTTGGGTTGGGTCTTCAGTTACCCCCAACCCCACTAGGTCTGGTACCAGACCTCCCTTCCACCTCCAACAGGTCTGGTGGGATGCCCACCTTCCACGTCGACCAGACCTCCCAGCGGGCCCTCCTCCGGCGAGGTGGAGGGGGCCTCCACCAGACTTCCTCTGGTTCTCCTGGAGACCTCCGCCTGATCCCCCCGAGGGCTTGGGGAGGCCTTCCGGAGGCTTCCCTTGGTTCCCACAAGGTGTGGCGAGAGGCTTCCCACGGCCCCTGGGAGCACCGGGCGAGGCCTCCCCCAGGGTTCCGGGACGACCAGGGGAGGTCTCTGGGAGGCTTCCCCTGGTTCACCTGGAAGCCTCCGATGAGAGTTCCCGCAGGGGGGAGGTCTCTTGTGGGAGGCTTTCGGGAGGACCAGGGGAAGCTTCCAGGAGACCTCACCTGGTCCTCCACCAAGTTTCCCCCCAGCGGCCCGGGAGGACCAGGGGAGGTTTCCAGGGGGCCTCCCCTGGTCTCCCCGGAAGTTTCCCCTTGGAGGGAGCCCTGCCAGATTTCGAGGTCTGGGGGAGGCTCCCGGACCCTGGTCCTCGGGGAGGATTCCCAGCAGGCTTGCAAGGACCAGAAAAAGCTTCTGGGAGACCTCCCAGCCCCCTTCTGGAAGTTTGCGGGAGGCCCCCAAGAGGACCAGGGGAGGTCCCCCGGCGGTCTCCCCCCAGATTCCAGGAGGTCGTCAGGACACCGCTAGGAGGCTTACTCTTCGGGGCCCTGAGGCCAGTGGATCACCGGATGCAGTGCAGCTACGGTGGCGACGGCAGCAGAGTCGCGTTCAGCCTCGGCGAAACATTTGCCGCGCGTTTCCAAGCTGGGTGGCTGGTTGGGGGCCTCCGACGGCCACGCCGGGACGTTTGAACTTTGGGTCTTTCCGCTCCAAGAAAACATGGTGGACGTAAGGAAACTTTTGGTTCCTTAATAAATGCCCCCCGGGGGGCCTCGATGGTCCCAAAGTGCGAGACATCTGTCGATCCACCAAATTTAATAAGGAATTCCCGGGGTCCCAAGTAAGGTCCTTACTTGGGTGCCTGGCGGTCCCAGAATTCAGGGCCTTACTTGGGTCCTCGGCGGTCACAGGTCCCGCAGGTTCCACAGGTCCCACGTGTCCCAGATGTCCCACAGGTCCCATAGGTCCCACGGGCCCCGCAGGTCTCGAAGGTCTCGCCGGTCCCGCAGGTCCCGCAGGTCCCGCAGGTCCCACAGGCCGCACAGGTGCCACAGGTGCCACAGGTCCCAGGTCCCGCAGGTCCCGCAGGTCCCACAGGTCCCACAGGTCCCTCAGGCCCAACAGATCCCACCGGTCCCAAGGTCTTGCAGGTGTCACAGGTCCCGCAGGTCCCACAGGTCCCACAAGTCCTACAGGTCTTACAGGTCCCACAGGACCCACAAGTCGCAAAAAAGGTGCCAAAGGTCCCACAGGTCTCGCAGGTCCTACAGGTCCCACACGTCCCACAGGTCCAAAGGGTCCCACAGGCCTCGCGGGCCCCACAGGGCCCACAGGCCCCACAGGTCCCACATGTTTCACATGTCCCATAGGTTCCGCAGGTTCCGCAGGTCCCGCGTGTCGCGCAGGTCTCGCAGGTCCTGCAGGCCCCGCAGGCCCCGCAGGTCCCGCAGGTCCCACTGGGTCCCACAGGTCCCACAGGTCCTACAGGTCCCACAAGCCCCACAGGTCCCGCAGGCCCCACAGGATCCACAGGGTCCGTATTTCCCACAGGTCTCGCAGGTCGCGCAGGACCCGCCAGTCCCGCATACTCCATAGGCCCCGCAGGCCCCGCAGGTCCCACAGGTCCCGCATGCAGGTCCCGCACGTCCCACAGGTTCCGCAGGCCCCACGGGTCTTACAGGCTTTAAAGGTCTCGCAGGTCCCGCATGTCCCGCAATTCCCACAGGTCCCGTAGGTCCCAGAGGACCCATAGGTCCAACAGGTCCCTCAGGACCCGCAGGTCCCGCAGGTCCGCAGGTGCCACAGGTCCCACAGGTATGAATGACCCCACAGGTTTCACAGGTTCTCGCAGGTCCACCGGTCGCACATGTCCCGCAGGTCCCGCAGCTCTCACAGGTCCCACAGGTTCCGCAGGTCTCCCAGGTCCCTCAGGTCCCACAGGTCCCACAGGCCCCCCGGGTCCCACAGGTCCCGCAGGTCCGACAGGTCCCGCCGCCAGCACAGGTCCCACGAGTCCCACAAGTCCCGCAGGTCGCGCAGGTCCCACAAATCCCGCAGGCCCAGCATATCCCACATGTCCCACAAGTCCCACATGCCCCACATGTCCCACAGGTCCTACAAGTCCCGCAAGCCCCGCAGGCCTCGTAGGTCTG